GAACACATCTGTGTCCACTCAAGTTGTAGTACCATGGAAGCCTTCTTGGTAAGCTTTTAGCATAAAATAACTGTACATGTTATTTTAGCAATATCAGACATACCCTTTTAACTTTGGATTAGAGCTACAAGTTAGAAGTTCTGTACAAAGCAGAATGTCGAAATCGAGAACCAAAGTAAATTAATTCTCCTACCATACATTAAAAGCACATGTCATCTAATTCTCCAACTGTTACTTTTCCCTGCCTTTAAACATGCAATGAGTGCTTTGAGATCTTGATACAGCACATTTTATTGGGTCATTGGAAAAGTCCTGATATATTTTTCCATGTTTTTCTATCAAAAAATGCATCATGACTTTTCTGATGATCTAATACTTCAAGGGTAAAGGGATGGATTTTAAACCTTACACAAAAAAAGCAGGATTAGATTAAGAGTCCAAAGGACTAGTTATCTCCCTGATGCCAGCTCCTCTACCCATGCTAAAGCTTACAAGGTAAGAGAGAAGGCAGAGAAAAAAAAGGGAGATATATGGGTTTCTCTTCACTGGTGTAGTTATAAATAGGAGATCTACTTCAATGTAAAAATAAAACTAGCTTTCATTATAAACCAACCAAATGGTTTACTTTCAGTATCATATAACAAAGAAATCAGATCTGAAAAAATCCCAATAGGTCATGGTTCTCCTCTCCTGCCAAGTCAGAATTGTTGTCTACAGTATATTTCTAGTTACACGGATATAGTATGGCCTTTACTAATTTTCTCCTTTCCTTAGGAACTTATTTCCCCTTCTCGTCAATAATCGTACTCACAGGTTCGGCTGCTCTTTGTCAGCATAGCAGAATAACAGAGGGCTCAGGCTCCGCGCCAGTTCATGTTCCTCAAACTGGCCTGCAGCATCTGTCTTTGCATTGTCCTGTCTGAAGATCAGTGGTAACCCTTTAGGAAGGAGGGAAAAGTTTATATCAATCCCACCCAGTCTATCTAACAGACATGCAAATGGCAAAAGGAAAAAAAAAGGCATCAAGGGGGAAGAGTGAAAATTGAATTTATTTACTGCACTCAGTTTGTTTCTAATTGAATGCTTTTGACCATGACAAAGCACTTATTATGGAAGCAGAAAGTGTCAGCAGCCTAGACTATTGAAGTAATCTATTTGCATCGGCTCCACTTAGTCAGTCAAGAAAATAAATGTGAATTCCCATGACCAATGCCAAAGGCCTACTTGAGCAGCCTCGGTACATACCTGTTTTATTAATGAGCCAATATGGAGCAGAAATGAAGATCTTTAAGGATCCCTCTGCTCGACACACAATGCGGATGGTGAGGTTTAGCTGCCGTCGGTTGATGTCATAAAGTCGCATTCTTACCATATAGTTTTGGGTTCCAGGAGGAATGAGCAATTCTTTACAGAGAGGAAAATTCTCCAGTGATACTCCTAAAGAAGGTACAAGCTATTAACTTTCTGGGTCCTCACTTTAGTCAAAATAGCTCACAGCAAAACTAAACTGGACTCCTTTTGGAAAAACCAGTAACTGATTTAAAAAACAAAACAGATCTTAGCAGAATGGCCACTTCTCTCTAGCTAGGGTTTGAAGACATACAAAGCAAACCAGATGGCCTGAAAGTCAGAGTAGGAAATCTAAACTACAAAAGCAGAGGAGTTAGAATACTAAAAAACCCTCAATAATAGTCATGATTATTAGGTGTTCGCTAAACATCAGGCCCTGTGCTAGGTAATGAAATGCAAGAAGGCAAGTACAGGGTTAAGAGTCAAGGTTCTGTAGCCAAATGGCCTAGTTTCCAATCCCCAGTCTGTCTTTATATTCTGCATAATGTGTGGCAAGCCATTAACCTCTTTAGGCCTTCAGCAAAATGTAGGTAAATAAAAGTGTCTACATTGCAGGACTATGATGAAAAATTACAATTCGGGTCCAGTAGATGGCACAGTGGTTAAGGTGCTGGACTCCCACATGGTTGACTGCTACTCAAGTCCCAGACCCAGCAGCTTGACATTCATGCCAAGTGCGTGTATGCCCAAACACCCAAGAGGAGAATGTCTCTCTGTCTTTCTGATGAGTGCACACAGCTAGAACAAAATCTCTCTCTCAAAAAAAAAAAAAGAAAGAAAGAAAGAAAGAAAAGTAATGTAATGCATGACATTGAAGACATGGAGTACTCAGCGTGTACATGGTGGTAGCAGGGTGAGAGGACACTTCTAGTTTGTAGAGGTATCAATAAATATCTGAAGAAATGTGTCAGGAAACTAACTACTGAAAACGCCGAAGTCCTGCTTTCTCTCTAATGACTAATTAGCACTGTACTATTTTTCTTTTCTAAATTAAGCTCTAGGATTTACATGGATAGTTACTGAAATGGGATCCTGTCATTGCAGGATACATTGCTTAGATTCAACATTCCTCATCTATAAAATGGGGATAACATCTGTCTCAGCCTGAAACATGGGCTGTTGTAACGATCAAATCAGGCAATATAGTGAAAGCATAAGACTGCAGAAGGATAAATATATAAGCTATTACTTCTAACATGTCTGGCTGTATTGAAGAAACAATTCTTGGGACCAGTAGATGGCATAATGGTTATGTCACTGGACTCCCATGTAGTCAACTGCAGTTTGAATCCCAGACATGGAGGCTTAAAACTCACGCTGGGAGCATGTGTGTTATGTGCCCAAGATCCCAAGAGAATAGAAGAGAAGGGATTCTGGTATGGCCATCCCCCTGGGCGGTGATTTCTTACGTTCTGTCTTTCTGTCTCTCCCTGTCTCTCTGGTGAGTGCACATGCCCTATAGCAAAAATTTCTCTTAAAAAAAAAAAAAAAAAAAAAGAGGTAGAGGAGGCAGGGACCACAGTAGAGGGTTCCTAGAGGACGGGGACCTTGAAAGCGGGACTTGTGATGACCCAGGGGTGGGATCAGCCATTAAGCAGTCCCACCTCTTCTGTGTCAGGCAATAAACTGGGATCTTGACTGGCATCATCTCTTAATCCTCCGAACATCCCAGGGTATTCCACAGAGTTCCAGATCTTGGGCCATGAGTGAGCTGAAGGATACCCCTTGCAGTTCCACAACCTCAAGTCTGTGGAATACCTGAAGGTCTGTCTCTGCTACATGAAAGTACAGGCCCACACTGAGATGATAGCATTGGCATCGAGGAGCTGGACAGACACCCTTCAGCTGCAGCTTGAGATCCTGCTCTCCTCTGCCAGCTGGCGTCTGCATGTACTCCAGCTTGAGGCTGAAACCCAGATCCTCCCTGACTGGCAGGATAAGAAAGGTGATCAACGATTCCTGAAGCTGGGTCAAGATCATGAACTGGGAGCCCGCCTAAAACACGGGAACCCCAAGAAGCAGAAACTGGAAGGGGAGGCAGGACATGGCCCTGGACAGCCCAAATCCAAAAATCTTCAGCCCATGATCCAGGAATATTAATTCATTCATGACCCAATCAAGGTACTACGGATAACTAAGAATGATGCCACCAAGAGGTTCTGGGCTTCAGTGGAGCCCTACTGTTCAGATATCACCAGCAAAGAGGTACTCATGCTAGAAGAGCTACTGAGGCTGAGCATTATAAGATACCATCCCTGGGGAAGCACTGCTCCCAGCGTTGGGTCCAGGAGGACCTACTGGAGGAGCAGAAGGACGGGGCCTGGGCAAAAGCCATGGCTGACAAGAAGAAAGGCCTCTCGGAGCCTCCAACTGAACTGGATACTAAAGATGTGGATGCCCTGCTGAAGAAGTCTGAGGCCCAGCATGAGCAGCCGGAAGACGGGTGCCCCTTTGGCACCCTGATGCAGCACCTCCTACAGGCCCTGGTAGAGGAAAATATTATTTCCTCTATGGAGGACTCTCCTATTGTTGACATGTCTGAAAGAAAAGGAAAGAATCAGGAGCTGACAGAGCAAGCACCTCTCCCTGCAATAACAAACCCGTCAGTGTGCCGCACACTAAGTCCCTGGAGAGCTGCAACAAGGAGGAGTTGATTGTACAGGGCCTCCTGGAGTCTGGGACTGAACTGCAGAGGACTCACAGGATGAGGTCCTCACTGAGCTGTGCAAACGGCAGGGTGAGCTGAAGGCACTAAGTGCCCACAACTGCACCATGACGCATGACCTGCAGAGGCTGGCAAAGGAGGAGGTGAGTTGGCCAGAGGTGAGGCAGCGCATCCGAATGGCAGACAACGAGGTCATAGATGCCTTTTGTAAGACCACGACTGCCTGGAGGAAGCGGACCCCTACCAAGAAGGAAAAGGGCCTGGAAAACCCTGAAGGAGCACGAGAGCATCCTGAAGCTGCTGGATGGGTAGCCCCAGCCCCACCTAGGCTTTCGTCCCTACCTGCTTCCTTCAGAGGCTAGAAGCCTTGGCATATGGCTGCCTTTCAAATGGCTGTAGTCGCTAGAGGATGGTGGCCAGTCCCTGAGATCTTTTTGGCCCAGCTTTGTACAGCCAGACCACAGGAAGCCCTGCTCGGCTGGCCTGGGGTCCAGTCTCTGCTTGGTCCCCAAATGAGTAGGGGCTTTATTTCTGGGTCTTCCTCTTTGCCCTCTTCACCTCTCCCCATGCTCACATACCTCCATCTCCCCCTCCCCACCAAGGACTTCTCCTTTGTGGTTTTATAAAGTACAAAGTTAAGAATAAAGCAACTGCTATGGTTTTTCAGATAAAAAACAAACAACAAAAAATCATAATTCTTATTCAAACACCAGAAGGATTTTTTTTTTTTTGAAGTTTTTTTGCCATAGAGCACAAGTGCTTACTGGAAAGAGATAGAGAAGGCCACAACAAAATCCCTTCTCCTCTTGGGATTTTGGACACACATACATATATACCTGGTGTGATTTTCAAGCCACCAGGTAGGTGTCTTGAACCACAGCTGGCCATGTGGGAGTCCAGTACCTTAATGATCAAGATACCTGCTGGCCCCAAGAAGGACCTCTTTACCTTAAGTGGTATAAATATGAAAATGATTCTCTACCTTGACTTCATTTACCCTCATTACTTGATACATTAAGCATTCCAAACCTCCATTTCTTCTTCAGTAAAACTGAATGCATAATTATTGCTGTAAGGATTATAGTGAGATTATGTAAGTGAAACAGCTGACTATGCCTAGAGCACAATACACGCTTAGCAAATGCTCATCCCTTCCTTGGAAACAGAAGGAGAGACACATGATTTTGCTCCTTTTATAGCTAGGAAAAAGCTTGTTTTGAAAAGACAGAATAACTGCCTATAACCTACATCATGTGAGCAAAGTAAGAAAAAGGGCTCTAGTAGGTATATAACCCTTGAGACCAGCAGTTGACATAATGGCTATATCACTGGACTCTCATGTAGTCAACTGTGGTTCAAGTCCCAGATCCGGTAGCTTAATCTCATGCCGGGCATGAGTGCGTGCATGATCCCGAGATAATGGAGGAGGAAGGGATTATGGCGTGGCCATCCCCCCGGGGGGTGATTTCTCACTTTCTGTCTCTCTGTCTCTCTCTGTCTTTCCGGCGAGCACATGTGCCCTATAGCAAAAACCTCTCCAAAAAAATTTGTGTAAGCCTTTTGGCTTATTCAGTCTTTTCTTTCAATAATTTTCTCTTAGAAGTTGTTTTTTGGGGGCCAGCAGATGGCATGGTGGTTAAGGCACTGGACTCTCATATGGCCAACTCCAGTTTGAGTTCCAGACCTAATGGCGTAAAACTCATACCAGGCACTTATACGTGCGTGCCCAAAATCCTGAGAGGAGAATGGAGGAGAAGGGATTGTAGAATGGCCATACCCCTTGGGGGTGATTTCTCACTTTCTGTCTCTCTTTCTCTCTGGAGAGCACATGTACCCTACAGCAAAAAGATAAAAAAATGTTTTTTAAAATGCATAATACCTTTGGACTGACTCACTAAGATAGATACTTGATGAGTGCCACAATTTCTCTAAGCTGTTTACCAAATAATCACCCAAATGTTCCCCGATATTTCCACAGGCTACTACACATGGTCATTTGATTACATTCTTACCCAGTTCAATGTTCTGGGATGTATCTGCTGTGTGGAGAGCTGCTTCTTTGCCAGGTTTCAGTGTCCCGTTAATTGGCATTCCTTTAACATAAAAATCGAGTTCACAGGGGAGCAAGTTGCAGATTACCACAGTTGGCAGGAGGTAAATGGTGTGCCCAGGTTGTCTGAAAATCTGTTTTGCACTGTCAGAAAATATGTTTGAGGGCATGTAATCTGGATAATTCTCTTTCTTTATAGCCACACAAAACCTATAGAGATAAAATGTGAAAATCATCAACCTGAATGAAGAACTTAAATTATTTTTTCCTTAGCTGAATATAAGAAAGTTTAACATTAAAATGGTTCAGTAAATCAGTAAGATATTTGCAACTTTCAGTCCAACCAGATGTACTGAGGTGTAAGTAATACACAATAAAATGTAGATTTTAAATGTATACTTTGATAAGATGTGACAACGATATGCTCCTCTATAACTATCACCCCAAATACAATTTTCTTTCTTTCTTTTTTTTTTTTGGAAAGGTTTTTGCTATCAGGGATGTGCTCTTGCCAGAAAGACAGAGAGAGACAGAGAGACAGAAAGAGAGAAATCACCCCCTTGGGGGATGGCCAAACTGCAATCCTTTCTCTTCCTTTCTCCTCTTGGGATCTTGGGCACGCACGCACATATGCCCGATGTGAGTTTAAGGCACTGGGTCCAGGACGCAAACCATGGTCCACTACATGGGAGTCCAGCAACACAGCTATTAGGCCAACTGCTGGTCCCAATTCTCTTTAATTATTATTATTTGTGATAGAGCATATGAATATGCATGTGAGAGAGACAGTGAAAAGACAAAGGAGTACCCTCCAGGAGTCTGGTCATGCTCCCATCCTCCAGTCGGCTGGCTCTTGGGCACGCATGCTGGCCCAGCGCATTTTGGGTTGATAGGACTGGGGACCTGAACAGTGGCTGCCCTGTGGGAGCCAGCTTCTCTTAAGCAGCAATGTTACTGCCATACCTGGGAACTGACCTAAGTTAGAGAGTATTTCTCTCATCCCAAGTTCCATCATGTCCTTTTCTAATCACTATTCACTTTTGTTATTCAAACAACCATGTTCTAGTATTTATCACTATGATTAGTTGTGTCTGTTCTTGAACTACATATAATCTTGAATCATATAATATGTGTTACTCTTTGTATCTGGCTTTTTTGCTTAATACAGTTTCAACAAGAGTCAGCCATGGGGGGCCAGCTCAGCGGTGCAGCAGTGAGAAAAGATGCTGAATCCCACATGGCAACCACCATTGGAATCTTCTGCCCAGTCAGCCTTGAAACACACTGGGCAGGCTCCTGAGTGCCCAAGATATGATGAACTGGAGGAAGACCACAGTGTGACCAGACATTGACACTGTAGAGGGTGCTTCCCCCTCTCTTTCTCTCTCAAGTGCATACTCATGTGCTCTAACATGAATTAAAAAAAGGATTCGGCCATGTGCCACAAATATTGTATTTATTCTTTTACTGCCTAATAGTGCATCATGATAATAAACCAGGTCTAGTAATTTTCTTACATATCCCAAAGCGCTTTGGACATACTCAATAGTGTCATGTGAAAGAAGAGTTTTACTTCTTTCCAGATCTTTTTGTTCTTTTTATTTTTTGTCTAGCCTCAATCCAATGGCTGGAACTACTACTGTCACATTAAGTAGAGTGCTTGATTCCCAAACTAAAGGGAAAAGAGTTTAATGTCCCACATCAAGTATAATATTAGCTGTTGGTTTATCATAGATTTTTTTTTTTTGGAGAGTTTTTGTTTTGTTTCGTTTTGTTTTGTTTTAGGGAGGTTTTTGTTACAGGGAAAGTGTGCTTGCTGGACTGGAAGAAAGTGAGAAATCACCCTGGGGGTAATTTGTGGGGGGATGGCCAAGCGGCAATCCCTTCTCATTTAGTCTCCTTTCAGGATCTTGGGCATGCACACACATGTACCCTGCATGACTTTTAAGCTGCTGGGTCTGGGGTTCAAACCACCATCAACTATGTGGGAATCCAGTGATGTAACCATTACACCATCTGCTGGTCCCAGGCTTATCATAGATTTTTTTTTT